ACACACACACACACATACACACATTTCCTTTCATTAACAATTTCACATAATTTCGCCCCAATGTATGTACTTCATCACAAATGCTTATGTAAACAGCCTCTGAAGATTATACGATTAAGAAATGACGGAATGTTGTTACCATCAACGCACGCATGTCCATATCTCTCACTCCCGAGTTGAAACATTGTGATTTGGAAATAACTCACACATCGTATCGTCATCTACTGTCAACAAAACCGCACTTGAACATTTAGATAGAACCTGTACAGGATGCATTTTATACTTACACCTTTTATCTTTATTCTAAATTTTAAAATAAAAACTATTGTTTACTATAGAATACAACAAAGAAATAACCGAACCGTCAAATTATTTATTAAAAACTTTAACCAAACTTAATAATTAAAACAAAATAGATTGGATATGACAGCATGGAAAATAAAGCAAAAAGATTGGAGTAACCCTTGAGCTTGGAACAAAATGAAAGAGATCTTTACCCCCCCCCCTCCCTTGCCCCCCAGCCTTCTATAGCTTCATGGTTGGCGTCAATTTTGTTTCCAGATAGAGCCGTTGTTTTTTTCCCCCAAAAAGACATAAAGAGGCACCTTTCAATATTTTTAATGCATGTTCTGTTTCTGCTTTCCTGTGTTTTAACGGAAAAAATCACAATCACAAGCAAACAAACAAACAAACAAGACTGAGACTGATTTCCGATTGACGATGACTATATATAATATAAGGATACAAAAGAGGCGTGTCAAGAAGAACCCATTTTTGAAGGCGTGGTATTATATACTTTTATTCACTCACAGGGGAACAAAACCCCATTGCTTACAGTTAAAAGGTTGATTCCAGTACTTGTCAACTGTGCAATTACCAAGCAAGATCAAGGAAAAGGATAAATGTATGCTGTGCCGTTTGTGAAAACAGATTCTCAAAAAATGCCAAGCAATGTTCCAGTGACAGCTTCCGGATTGGTAATCGCGTTAACCCCACTTCCGAGCTGTATGCAGGTCCATTTTCCCCTTTTGGAAACAGCTGTAAATTATGATTTTAAAATAAAATATCATCTAAGTGAAGAATACAGCTGGCTCTGGAAAACACTTGAGGTGAGGTGAGAAGGGTTAATTAAAAATAAATTGAAATTTTCCCTGTTAACCTGTTATCTATAATATTTATGCGTTACATCAATAATGAACTCTGTTGTAATATGTACAATTATTATTAAGGTAAACATAATAATTCTCGTTTCAAACAGTAGGGAAAAAAACAATCATGCTGAACATTACAACCTTGTGTAAGTTAATTCTATGTTGAAAAAGACGCTGAAAAAAATGACAATAGAGAGTTTACGGTTGTCGATAAACTCAGTCCGCAACGTAGCCTACGTTTTGTTTTTGTCCTCGACGTTTCCTAACTTGCCAAACACTTTGCTCTCTCGGATGACGGCCAGGTGCTTGGAGCGACTCTCCGAGGTGTCGGGGGCATAGGTCGACTTGCGGCGTGCCCGGATCTCTCTCTTCTCCTCCACCAGTCGCTGGGAGGAAGGAAGAATACATACAAATGTAATTGGATAAGTTTAAGACTGAAGCATGTCATTATCAGACAGGATAGCAATTGAGAGGTGTGAAATTTTGACCACTGCTTGCCGATAAGACAAGCGGTCCTTGATCCCACCGGGTTCGTCTGTATTTAAAACACTGTGTAGATCTACCTTGCCAGTACTAAGGGCTGTCCCGGGGGTTTTATGCAACCAGCATAATTTAGCAAAATTTGATCATTTTTTTGATAATTTCTGATTATTTTCCTATATCGTTCTTTGTTAAAATTTACAGAATTGCATAATTTCCCATTATTGGGCTCAGTTTGCATAATTTCAGCATTTTTGAGGGGAGGGGGGT